ATAAGTCAAGTAATAAAAAAAGGAAGGAAAGGATCATCCTATAGTAAAAAGAAGATTAAGAGGGACCAGCAGGTGGTGTAGTGGATAAGGTTGGGGCTCCTACATGGCCAGCCATGGTTCGGGTTTGGGTCCCGGACCTGGAGGCTTGAAAATCACACCGAGTGCATGTATGTGTGCCCAAAATCTCAGGAGAAGAATGGAGGAGAAGGGATTGCAGCATGGCTATCCTCTCTGCAGGGGAGGGGGTGATTTATCACTTTCCTTCTCACTATCTATCTCTAGTGAGTGTATGCACTTTATGGCAAAAACCTAAAATAAAAATAATGAAAGAAAAAGATGCTAAAGAGAAATGCAACTGAGTACAACATAGTCCTTGATTGATTCCTGAGATGAGCAAATTAGCCCTCAAAGACATCTTTGACTAGTGGAAAAATATTAATGTGGACCAAGTGATATTAAGGAATTATTAATATCATTGGACATGATAAAAATATCACAATTTTATGAGAGACTGGCCTCTTTAAAAAAAATACATATCCAAATATTTACAAATGAAATACCAGAAATGTTACTTTAAACTGCAGCAAAAACTAAAGAAAATTACAAAGTGAAATGAACATAGTTAAGATGTTAACTGTTGGGACCAGCAGTTGGCGTAATGACTATGTTTTTGGACTCCCATGTCGTTGACTGGAGTTTGAGTCCCGGACCTGGTGGCTTAAACTCATGCCAGGTGCGTGTGCGTGTATGCCCAAGATCCCGAGAGGAGAATGGCCGCATGGCCATCCCCCCTGGGGGGTGATTTCTCGCTTTCTATCTCTCTGTCTCTGTCTGTCTTTCTGGAGAGCGTATGCTCCCTATACCAAAAACGTCTCAAAAACAAAAAAAAAAAAAGATGTTCAAAAATATTTTGCAGAGTCACACTTTATAATAAGATGTTAACTGTTAAGTCTGAGTGATGAGTGTTTGTGTTCATCTTAATATTCTCCTTGGTTTGCTATGTGTTTGAAAAGTTCCATAATCAGAAGAGGGGGAAATGCCATGAGGCGCCCTCTCAGGCAGGTTACAGAGGGATCAAACAGTGAAGTTTATGAACTCCACGCTGCTTTGACCAGCTGGGGCATGTTTGCCTCTCTCATGGCTTTCCATTGTCTGTTTTGTTTTGTTTTGTTTTGTTTTGTCATAGGGTGTATGAACTTGCCAGAAGAGACAGAGACAGTGAGAGGAAAGCAAGACAGCATCCCCCAGGGAATGGCCATGATGCAATCCCTTCTCCTCTAGTCTCCTCTTAGGATTTTGGGCACACAAGCACACACACCCAGCATGATTTTCAAACCATGAGGTCCAGGACTCGAACCACCATCAACCATATGGGAGTTCAGCACCTTAACCACCTGATGGCCCCTCCATTGTCTTTTTAAGCAACAGGTAGTGGTCTCATGCTCTCAAAACAGTAAACAGCAGCAACAGCTTTCAAATATATATTGCCTGGGAAGATCTACATTTCTTGATACAAGCTACAGCACCTCAGTTTCCAAATCAGCCATCAACCAGTAGCTCAGTGCCAACTGAGAAAGTGCTCACAACCACCTATATTCGCCTCTTACTCATCACTGTCCCCTAGGATCTTAAGTGGCTGGTTCTCAACCATTAAGTTGGAATGTTTCTTGGAGAAATAAAAGTAGTGATATGAGTGTATTTATACTCCAAACCCTACTGAGCATTTCATAATTATGAAAATTTGATTTCTGCTACCTGCATCTAGTGCTATGATGATAAAGACTTTGGGGATCATTTTTGTTCTGGGAGTCCCACAAGCACTTCAGTTCCAGTCATTCCTTTAATGAGCAGTAGCTATGTGACTCTGGACATGTCTTAGAGTCTGATTTCTTGTCAGTAAAGTGTGAACACAAAACTAGGTAATCCCTAAATCCCTAGTAACTAAATTTCACATGTCCATGTTCTGACTCCTGGTCCTGTATGTCTTGATATAAATTGCACAGGAGGGAATGCACAGCCTTGTGGGAAAAGACCGGAGGAGTAGACATGGGTTTGTACCCTGGTTTCGCCAATCGGTATCTCTGAGTTTAATGCTCCCTTATCTCCCGAGAGGAAATGGTATCTACTTTATTAGATTTCAGTGAGAATTAATAGAGATGTCCTGTGTAAAATTTTCTGGCACCCAGTACCTCAATAGATGTTGGTAGAATCTAAAATAACACCACCCCTACTTAGCTTTCCTGGTGATGAGCACAGTTAACTTCAAAGGGCCAGGCCTGGTAGTGCTAAGAGCCTGCCCAGGATCAGCGGTTGGCATGAAGGTTAAGCTGAACACCCTATGACTGACTGCCCAGTTTGAGTCCCAGACCCAGCAGCTTGAAAAACACACCAACGGTGTGTGCATGTGTGCCCAAAATCTCCAACGGAGAATGGAGGAGGAGGGACTGTGCTGTGGCCTTCCCCCACCCCACCCCCAACCCCTGTGATTTTTCTTTCCCTCCGTCTCTCTCTCATGAGCATACATGCGCTATAAGAAAAAAAGCCTGGCAAACAGCACCAGACTTTGCTCATTAGTTTGCAGAACTCATAAGTCTGCCAGAGTCAAGCACACTTAAGTCAAAGGACAGCGTTTTCCACCCTGTTCTCTGGCTTTTCTTGTGTTCTGAATAGAAGCTGCCAAGGGCCTTTGGTTAATTCCTGTTTGAGTCAGTCACTTTTTGCTTGTTCTACTGCCATGGATTGTACCCTTAGCTGCAGCCAGCTGGCTGGAAATTCCTTGTTACTGGGCACAGAAAACGCCTGACCACCTAGGGTCAGTTTAAATGTCAGCGCTCCTAGGAAAACAACACAACTGCGCATGCCCGGCTCTGAGTGGGTCCGCAGAGGCACCAAAGACCACCCCAGGGAAATCCTGAGCGTAGTAAGGATCAAAACACTATGGTGGGGGGCCACCCCCTGCCGCTCGCACACACCACGGTTGCACCTGCAGTAATGTGATGCTCACAGGCCCTCACCTCGCAGCCGGCAGCCGCCCGCCTCCAGCTCCAGGTCGCATCCGACGCCCTCTCGGTACAAGAGCTCGATGCTGCACAGATTCTCCCTCAGCTCCTCTGCCTGGCTGGGCGTCTTATCATTCTCTCCGCGGTTTTCAGTTCCCTGGCTTTTCCGCTGGACCGCGACCTTCACTCGGGGCGCTCCCAGGACCTCAGCTGCAGCCAGGACATCCCCCCGCGGGGCGGGGCCCAGCACCCCCTCATAGGCAAAGGTTAGCACGGCCTCCCAGGCCCCCGGAGCCACATCGAGGGTGAGGGGGGGCCGCGGGCCTCCGCCCATCAGCCGGCCTCGGAAGAGGCTGCTGACTGCAGCCACGATCACTCTATGCACCCCGTACACACGCCCCCCCACT